GTATTCTCTATCCATATCTATCTAGTTATTATCTACTAGTTATTTTTTATGTAATAGTGCTATGGATAAGTGTTATGGCATATTGCTTGTATGTATGGGAAGCTCTTTGCCCGTGGGGCTATGCAGGCTCAAAACACTAATTCGATAAAGGCTTTAAAACACAATACAAACAACAACGATCAAGAAATTGTTACCATCTAAACAGTCATAGTGTATAGATATGCTAGATACCGCTCCGACGCACGACTGGAGTTTACTGGATATAAAAAATTAAACGAAACAATACGAGAAATAGTTCTATATTACGACAACACGATACACTACAGATTATTAACAAATTAACGAGACACAAAACAAACGACTAACAAATATATGAAAATACAATAATGAGAGAAACGCGCGATCAGTACGAGGCTTTGTGGCGGACTGCCGGCGCAGCAGCCCGGCGTCACCTGCGATAACGCATTTCGTGTGACATGCGCAATCAGGCGCATAACGCATTTCGTGTGACATGCTAGTACGATTTTGGTCCCCATAATTTTCATACCCCGGGCCTATATATGTAAATCGATTCTAAAGGAGTAAACTCCAATAAAAATAAATGAAATCGTGTAAATCCGATGTTGCATAAAGAATAAATGTGATAATTGGCACATTTCAGTTCCGGAAAAGCAAGTAACGACTTGATTTTATCGACTCTTTCTCTGTTTCAGATGCTGCTGTTTGTATTATCTAAGATATTGGGTGTTATGTAATTTACCCTCATAATTTGTCTCAATTTTTAATTATTTAGGGTTTGAGCTAAGGTTTTCCCACTTAAGAACTTGACTCTGTTCTTCTGAAACATATTTTATGTCAATCGCCAATAGCAGTATGTATTGTCTCAAGTGTAGGTACTCTCTATGCTATTGTCTATGTGTATTATCTATGGTCATAGACTATGACCATAGATAATTCACTTAATGGCAGCAATAGCAATCAACGAATGAGTTTATTTTTTTTGTAAGAACATCTATTTCTATCTGTTGAAATCTGATAAAGTACACACGAAGCATGAATTTACAAGAGTTTTGAAACAAATCTATATTTTAGTGTGAAATATGACACGTACAAACATCATCTAGAAATGTTACTAATATTCCCAAATGCGATAACTTTCCACTTGCATTTAATTTTGATTCGTTCTAGGAAATAGGTACATTCACTTTGTATATTTAACGACTTGGGATTATGGCTGCAACGTTTTCTTGCCGTTTGTGTTAATGTTATTGTGTTCTCAAAATGGAGGTTATTCTAATTTTGACCATGGTAACGTTTGGATTGGCGTATGACAAAGGTGAGAAGTTACAGTGCACTTATTTACTATTTAGGCTGGATGGAAATATACCGTAGTATTGAAATAAAAATTAATTCTTAGAGTACTTAGAGAAGTTTTAATATATTATTTTATACAATTACAATTATTTTTGTACAAGAAGTAAAAAAAATTGATATATTATATATAGGCTTTTTTATGGCGAAGGTGCGTAAACTATCTCACGATTAGCCTGTAAAACCACACAAAAATCACAATGTGAATGCTCCCACCCCATTTTGAGACATTATGTCAAAGTCTCACAGGTGTCCCACTCTTTAAATTGGCATACATGATTGCCTCAATGCAGCAATACCCTCGATGATGCATATGTGGGTTGATGATGCATATTTATTTACTGGTGGGCCTACAATATGGGGTGTGTTGTAGGCCAGTAATATTAAGTACACCAGTAAATATTAATACTCCACTGCTGATGTCTCTGATAAGATTGTTGTCTATTCTGTTGGTTCAAATTTTTTAGACTCCCAAGGGAAGAGAGATGAGATGATGCTATAACATAGTATTATAGGCTTACATCATATAACCATTTCTGAATTATTAAATGAAATAGTTTCAAGTTAAAACTTTTTGAAACAAATAAAAACATACAAATAGAAAAATATAGATACACATAAAAGTATGTGTAAGTGTAAGCATTAGAGTTGGTAAACAATTAAAGCCACTACTGTATATGGTAGTTTGATAATTAGTTAGCTTTTTAAAATAAGTTATAATGTTAAAAATATAAATAAAATTGAAGTAGACTCCCTAGTATGTTTATGAAGTTTTATGAAGTCTACCATTTATATATGTATAAATTAATGTTAATTGTACTTATTTTCATAAGTCTTGAAAGTGGTTATATTTCTAATCTATATTAATTGAAATTATAATATTTTTTGATTTCTTAACTCTTATACCTGAAAACCTCTCATTATTCCAACTTTTCATTTGGCTATAATACTATGAAAATTGAAATAAATTTTTACCAATTTATCGTAACCGAATAATCAGGAATGCATAAAAAAATGTTTTATTTAGAGGGTGAGATAGTTTTCATGACAAATATATAACTGAAGTATGTACAGCATACTTTACTTATTGAGAAAAAATATTAAATATCTAAATTCCTACAGGTGAAAATAATAGTTGTCATCTCTTCTTCAAACTTTAGTAGTACAGATAGTTCAGTGAAGTAGAAATTAAAGTAATCATGTTTGGTCTTTTGTGTCAAGATTTAGATATAATTTTGTAAAATGTTTTCATTTTATTTTCAGCTTCATTTTATGGGGCGAGCTATATTTCATATCCACTTCAAGAGGCCAAAGGAATTACTGACATTAATTTTCGATTTCGAACTCATCTTTCTGATGCGCTATTGCTGCTTGCAGCTGGAAAGACTGACTATTGTATGGTGAGTTTTGAAGATTGTGTTATGAAAATATACATAAATCATATTATCAGTAGGTAAAAGACAATATTATATCATTAATGAGTTCCAGGAGGAATCAAAATAAAATAAATGTAAATTCAATCAAAACTCTACAACAAAGTTGAAATTTTGTTTTCCCAAACAATTGTTGGTGGAACTAATTTATTGTAATCCATTTATTTAAGCCCAACTTTGTTATATTCAGATACGTCTTGAGAAAGGAAGACTAAAATTGAACATAAATCTTGGTGGAGGAGAAAGTGAACTATTTTCGCCCAGAGGAACTCTAAATGACAGCCAATGGCACCATGTCAATATTATTCGCCGGGAGGCTAATCTCACCATGAAGGTATGTTTACTAATTTTAGATATAAAACTTTTAAAGCAGTTGAAGTGCTTAACTCATTATCACCAAAAAGTAAAAAGTTGTGTTAATTAATTTTTAGAGACATGAAAAATCTTCTCACTCTAAATTTTCAGTCATTGTATTTGAGTTTTTAAGTATAAACATTATCTTGTCATTTAATTTCTCTGATAAAATAAGGTGTTCATATTAATAAACATATATCAAACAAATCAATATAGTTTCCAGAGCATAAATGGATTAATGAAACTAAAGAAGAGGTGAAACAAATGAAACAAGTACTCTTCCATATTTAAAAGTGTCTAATTCTTTATAAATTCATATTACATTTCAAAATTTTTTATTATATTCTCATTTATATATTAACTGGATTTCATTTCATTCTAATTTATTACTGTATTTTTAGATTGATGACAGTGTTGTAAGGAAGAGATTTCCTGGAAGATTTTTTGAATTAAACATTCATTTTGGTATATTTCTCGGAGGTCAGGGTGATTTCTCTGAATTATTTTTGGGTCATATGGAAAACTTTCGTGGCTGCATGGAAGATGTAAGTGCCCCACCTAATGTATCTACTTTTTATATATTTATTGTTATATGTAACTAAATGAATGTATTTTTCAGGTATATTACAATGGGGTAAAAATTATAGAGAAGGCTAGAAGCCGCTCTGGGTCTGTACGTGTCGAGGGTGTTACATGGAATTGTGCTCCTGAATTTGATGCTGATATCAACTCAGACATTAGTTTCATTGATGAAGGAGCTTACTTGATACTACCCAAGATAAATTCCAGAGCGGGTGGACGGTATAAAAATTCATTACATTAAAAAACCTTGTTAATCTGTATATTTAAACATTCCCCTGATCTTTTCACCAATGCAGAACACAGCAAAACTATGATGTTTATAAAATAGAGTAGTACTTTCATACAATGTGTGATTGTCATTAGTACTTCAATGAAGATTCCAAGAATATTTTTTTTAGGTGGCAAATTGAATTCAAAACAATTGCTCAAAATGCCATAGTTCTGTATAATGCTGGTGGCGGTCGTTCCGATTTTTTGGCTGTTGAAATTCTGGAAGGTGCAGTAAGAGTCAAAATGGCACGTGGACAAATACTTCACACTATGCGAGTTAACGATGGACAGTGGCATAAACTTCATTTGTTGTTCAACCCTTCACTTATTGAGGTTGGTGGTAGAAACAATGATATGATTATTGTATTCGTGTTTTGTTATAATTTTGGTGCCCCATTGCAAAAGCGAAGCTTTTTTTCTATATTGCTATTTGTACAAGTGCTTAGAAATTATTGACTATCTTTTGGAATGTAGATGCAACTGCTGCTTTGCTTTTATTAATTTTTTTAAATTCATTTTGTAATGTTTTTTAAACTATTGAGTGAATGAGCATATTATGGCTCACAGAAAGTAGTTGCTGGAACCTATAGACACAAACTTAGAGGTTGGTTGTTTAGTCTCTATTGTATTGTATAACTGTTGTCTCATCTTTCAAATCCGAATCGCGGCAGAAACACGCTGGATAGTGGTAACCTCCTATGCAGGCTTACAAAATATTCTATTACTTACTGCCTTTTACAACATCCACATAAAAAGATAATATGGTGATTATTCTAGGCTGAGACTACCACGAATCATGCTGTTGCGTAAAGAGAACATTCAAAAATTTTGTGGTTATATTTCAAATAAATAAATAAATTGACAACAAGCCTTGCGATTACGCAATAGCCATTCGGAGAATTACTGTGGCATTTAATTTTGCGAATGAAAACTAGCTGAAAAAAATATTAACATCTTAGAATGCAACATAGTGTGTTTGCGATTGCGCATTGGTCTGATCGCGCATTAGCGCAAAATGCGATTCAATTAGCTATTGAATACTAGAGTCTTAAACATTCAACATGCAACAAACACAGTGCAACTTGATTATTCTTTTGCTTATCATCATCATTCATCATCATTATCCTGCCCTTCTCCCAGTCACCTGGGGTCGGCGCAACGTGTTTTCTCCTTCCATACTCTTCTATCATATACCTTTTCTTCGCTCACTCCTCTCTTACCCATATCGTCTTTCACGCAATTCATCAATTTCTTCTTAGGTCTACCTCTTCCTCTATATGCATCCACGTTCATAGTTAACATTTTCTTACTAACCTCATTTTCATTTCGTCTCATCACATGTCCATACCATCCCAAACGCGCACTTCTCAGCTTCTCAGCTTCTCAGCGTATATTGAATTTTATAAATATTAATAAATAGTAAAGCGAAATATTGTTGCTAGTAATTTTATGTTCATATTATCGAATCATTAATAGGGTTCGAAATGTATGTTATTTTCAGTTATCTGTGGATAATATCGCAATGAGCACCCGTATCGAAAGTGGCGGTACGAGGTATTTAGATCTATCCGATTCTTTCTATCTTGGAGGTATTGAAAACGAGAAACGACAGAGAGCATTCGCTAAAGGAATCAAAGCTGCTGACTCGAGTATTATGGTGAGATATACTTCTGTCATAATACGTTAAGTAAATTTAAGAAAATGTATTATAATCATGAAGAAAAATGTTCTTTGAATACTGCTAAAAAACCTATGCTAACTTCTCTCTGAATAAAATGCTTACAATTGCTGAATACTTAAAATTAAAAACTCATATAAACTCATGTTATTGTTATTATTTCACTTATTCTTCTATTATTTGAAATTATCTAATCTGGTGAGATTTATAAAGAATATAAGAAAAATATATTTAAATTTTAAGAAAACATATTTACAACAAATAGTTGTACATATATTATATATATATATATAACAAATAGTAAATACATTTTTATTAATATCTTTTCAGGGCTGTATAAAACCAATAGAAGTTGATGATAAAGTATTTGGTTTACCCAGTGCAGTAGTAACATATGGTGTAAGCCCTAAATGCGTATGGTACTATCCGTGCCATGCAAACCCAGGGAACCCTCCTTGTGTGGTCCAAGCTGTGTGTGAACAGCATGGTGTTGATGATTTCACTTGTAAATGTGATTCAGACCTGTGCATAAGCCCTGATTATGCTGAAAAGTACAAGGTTAGTCTAATCTTGTGATGATACAAGATTAAAGATGATATTTTAGATGACAGATAAAGGGTAGTCATATATAGATTACATTTACTGCCTACAACTGCCACAATAAATAGGAACCAGGGAGCTGAATCTACAAGAAACATTTCAGCATTTTTTATTTATTTAAGAAAAACAAACAAAATTTTGTTCAATCTAATACATATGGATATTTTTTATTTATATATACAGTATAATGTACACCATCCGGTGTATATGTTTACCATTCTGTTAAACTACCAGTAAAAGGACAATGCCCATTTTCTTAGGGCGTTTGGGCCCCTAAAATGTTGTCGTGTCATGAAGGTTTTAATTTAATTTGATAGACAAAGAGATATATAAATTTCATATTCAGAAAACTATTTTTATATTCTCACCCAGGCTTAAGAGAAATCTGTTTTTTTCTGCAGGTAAAATTAAGTTGTTAATTGTTTTCTTCGAAATCAATAATCGCTCTCATAATTAGTTAATAAGTTAATTGTGGTTAATGTTGCTAGAAATAGCTAAAGCTATTAAAAAAACCTATTAAGCTATAAAGCTATTAAAAAGCCCTTATGTACATTTTATTATTATTATATCCTCATAATAATAATAAAATGAAAGTGGTTTCTGAGAATGGACTTCATTGACCCTTCTTTCGGAAATGAAAATCCGGAACCTGGCAACGATGTTGTTGTTGTTGTTTTTAAATTCGCCAATAGGCAGGCAAAGAGCGTAGCCTATACAGCCTACTCTGTCGTAGTTTAGTACAGTACAGTACATTATTAACATGTCAATAAAAAGCAGGTGCATCTCTTTTTATTGCTTTTTGGGAGTTTTGTCAACTCGACGAATAGCACATTGACTGAGCATTAGGTTCCGCACACCTTTTATCTTGAAAAAAAAAAAAAAAAACAGTAACTGCTATGCTAGCCACAGTTTTATTCCAATGCCTCAATAATCATGAACAACGATTATTGACGTTTAATACACAAAACAACACCCAATTTATATATTATAGATCACAATAAACTATTAAAAAAACATTAAAATAAAACTTCAAGTGACGTTTCACTCGGGTGTTTCTGCCAAAACTCTCTGACCATAGATAATAAGAATAAGTAATGGTGGGCCATTGAGATTTTTACTAAAGGAATCATTAATGTCTAAGAATATTAAATAATTCATGGTTTTAAGTAATAATTATTATTACAATATATAAATATTGAATTGAACAAAAATAAACTAAAAAAGTCTTTGAATTATAACCGTTCCATTAGCTATTTTTTTTTAATTTGTTATTCAAGTCACAGACAACTTTTTCGTTTGCCAGCTTAAAGCTTTACTATAAGGCTTTATGGGCTAAGCCCTTTGCCTATTGGCGAATTTAAAATCTATGGCACTCAGTTTTGGGATGTTATCAAATAAGTAATTTATTTTTTTGTAAAACAATGCCAGGTTGACAGAAATGTTGATACATAAACTAAACAACGTGAAAAAATAAGGCATTTTTCAAGTACAAATAGTTTTGACATAAAGTTGGCCCACTTTTGGGCATTGTCCTTTAAAAATTCGTTCTTTCATGTCTTTATATCTACCTACATCATAAAAAATTATTTGATTCAATTGCCAATTATACAAAAAATGTGTAAATTATTTAAAATAAAAAAGAATGTAATACGTTACAGGTATTCTCAAAGTCGAGTAGCGAACTTGAACTAGTAGCCCTATACCCCCTTACTGTTCAAGAAGGCGGCGTGGCAGTTGTTACAACACAAAATATCGATGTGGTATTAGATCATCATAAGTATGGGGTCAGACCTTCAGGAGTTGTTTTTTACGTCGCACAGTCACCAATGCACGGAAGGATAGCAATCGACTTATCGTTACAGAGAAATTCACCACAGTTTAACTATGTCGAAACAGACGGCAAGACAAAACAATTTTTTACACTTTTGGATTTATCTAGAGATAAGGTTAGTTATTTTTTATTATAAAAAAAATAAGTAGTTAAATTTTTTACTACTGGTTTTAATTTATTTACTTTTTACCTTTTTTGGTGTCAATTGATTACCGGAAACCGTAGACATAACAGATATACCACCACCCACCTTGCAACATAAGTTTAAAATCTTTACCAACTATACCAACCATTCTTTAAATCGAAAGGCATAAATGTCTCGCATTAGAAATATGCAAGATGGTGCCTACCTATTTATTCTGACACACATAACAAGAGTAAGCGATATTATTAATTATAACATTCGATAATATATTTCCGCAGGTGCGATATGTTCACGACGGCTCCGAAAACCATCAAGATGCTATAGTATTGGATATGGAGTTGACTCAAGAGACAAAATTCACGTTACCCAGCTATTTACAGGGCCGGAATACTTTTGTTCTGCATGTAAACGTAACGCCAGTCAACGACCCACCAGTTCTCAACTTACTGCCAGGAAAAGTGCTTAGGCTTACTCAGGTGCTCCATAGGAACGGGTGTATTAGATACACCTTAATTTTAACCTAAAATATTTTTAAATACAAAATACAATATAGCAAGTAAAGTAGCAGTGCAGTAACAAAGTTGTTGCTTGAAACTGATCTAAGTGGAATAAAATAAAATGCCTCACATGTTGATTTCAATAACCGTTAACTGCTATGAAATGATAGAAGTGGGTACTGTCAACAAAAAATGTATTCAATCCATTTTCTATCTATACAAAAATATACGAGGTGAATATAATAATTTGAGTGAAATGGTTTATATATTTATACACCATTTTATTTATACAGCATATATAGCTGAGGATCAAAATGCAGAATTAAACAAATCTGTGACAGGTTGATAATTCAATAGTGAAACATTGAGCATTTGCTTTGATCAAAGTAGACAGAATAAAAACCCTTTTTGTTGCACTTCAAAGTAGTATAAATTATGTTTATCTAGTTTTGTTTTGCACGATTTTAACTTTTAATAGATCATTTTCATTTTATTTTATTTTATTTTCATTAGTCCTTTTTATTTTCAGTTTGAATTTTTGTTGTTTTCAGAATGTAACGAGTGCAGTTAATAATTTGCTTTTTTTAGTTGCATGTTTTTTGCGCATGTCACTGGCACCATTAACGTATCATAGTTTTGTGTAAGTATAAAATAACAAATTATAAAAATCAATCCTAAATTAAGATGGATATTGAATTATTACATAGCAAATTCATTTAAAGAGCTAATATTGTGTATTTGCAACTCACCTTAGGGGCCATCCATAAAGTACGTCACACGTTAATGGGGAGGGGGGGTATCACCGAAGTGTGACATCGTGTGACAAGGGGCATGGGGGGGTCAATACTTTTGTGACGTCACATGTTAAAATTTAAAATACTTAAAGGCAAAGTTTGTATGTGAATTAAAAATTTTAAAAATTTACAAATTTATTATTTAATAAAAATAAGTAAAAAATGAAAATAGCTGTTTTCTCTCGATTATTTTTAAATACATACATAAATTTAAAAAATGTGTGACGTCACATCAGGAGGGGGGGGTTATAAAAATGTGACAACCTGTGACAAGGAGGGGGGGAGGGGTTCAAAAGTCCTAAAATTCGTGTGACGTACTTTATGGATGGCCCCTNTATTAGATTATTATTTAATAAAAATAAGTAAAAAATGAAAATAGCTGTTTTCTCTCGATTATTTTTAAATACATACATAAATTTAAAAAATGTGTGACGTCACATCAGGAGGGGGGGGTTATAAAAATGTGACAACCTGTGACAAGGAGGGGGGGAGGGGTTCAAAAGTCCTAAAATTCGTGTGACGTACTTTATGGATGGCCCCTTAGTACTAAGTTTAATTTTGCTAAAATAAGTAGAAATTTATGAATGACTTGTAGCGTACTGAAATGCATTTTCGTGCGACTTGTTTTTGCTCAGGCATTTCAATTCATATTAAAATTTCGGAAAATCGTGAAGTCAAAGAGTAGTCAAAGCATAGTCTTTATCTTAATGCAATCCTTTATGACTTCAATCTTAGGTCAATATGTGGACTATGAGAATCGCATTGTGGCTACAAGCTTGCAAACCTTAGATAATAAAAAACAAGAAATAGCTTCAAGTACTTATATTTCATTTCTACAACCTTTCTCTAGGGTACACGTAAAGTGATCACTTCTGACATACTGAAGGCAGAGGATCCAGACACGCTTACAGAAGACTTATTGTATACCGTTTTACACGGAAAAAACGAAGCCAACAGGTAGATTATAAATTTCAAATCTTCTTTCAAGTCTACTGGACACATTGATGTAAAAAAAATGAGGTTAACTATGAAGGTAGACATTATAACAATATCTCCTCACATTATGTTATAAATATATAAATGGAGACAAATTACGTATGATCGATCATATGGCTCCAAATCAGGATTCCTTGTACTGTATTAACATGAAACTGATTAATATATATAAATGTATAAATTAAAAATCCAGACAAAAAGCAAATAAATTTGTTACAATAATTTTTTTTAACAGTTACAACAATAGTTTTTTTCAAATTTAGAAGTAATTATAGACAAATTTTAATGAACATACTAAGGAGATTTTATTCACAGTGGCCACATCGAGATGTCAGGACAGCCAGTTGACTCATTCACGCAACATGATATAGATGCTGGACTGATATCATATGTACATGGCACTAATGGTGAAAAACAATTGAACAAAACTTCACTAAGGCTTACTCTGCAGGTAATTAAAATACTGTAATTTATATAGAAATAGAAATTAGTTTAACAAAAACAAATTCTAAAGAAAATAAAACTAAAAGTGAGACAGAATTTCCCCTGATTTCCATATTATGAACATTTCCCTAATTTCCATTTTAGTGAGAGCTATTTATTATCTATTCAAACCTGGTTAGGGTTTTGTGATTGACCTAGGGATTTTTATTATGAAATACACCAGTACAAAAAACACAAACAGTGCCATCTCTTGTATGTTGATGGCACTATATAGAAGTTTTTTTGAAGTTCCAATAAAATACATTCTTATTCTATCTTATAATACTTATATCAACTGAACTAACTTATAATTTTATATGATAAAGTAATTGATTGATGATTGATATACTACCCTATCCTTTAATAATTTAAAAAAAAACCTAAAACCTGACTGAAGCACTACCTACCAGTGTATTTGAAAAATTATACCCTAAAGAGACTTGAGTCTATGTTTCAATTGTTTAGTAATGACGAATATTGCATTTTTTGCTAGTTTGATTTTTATTCTACGATGTTATTCCTTCAACGTGGAAATGAACGTAATATGTTAGTGCGTTGTTTAATAGAAAAAGTGTATCGGGCTGCGTAATACTTGATTAGAGTTCACCGGGCGTCTTCTTTTTTTAGGACACGACAACATTAACATATCGAACTTTAAAGCCTAATAAACATTAAATCTAATTATAATATATTCTACATATTTCTTTAGGTATCTGATGGCATAGAGACCAGCGGTCCAGGTATACTTCGCATATCGATAGTACCGTTACAAGTCAGATTAGTCAACAATACCGGCTTGCAACTCGTTCACAATTCTTATGCAATCATAACAGCTGACAACCTGACTTTCGCTACTAATGCAGACGAGACCAATGTGCAAGTCAAGTAAGTTTTTTTTATCAATGGCTTATAATATGCCAAGCTTTCTCACAGTCTGATCAAACAGGAAATTCATAAATTTATTGAGGGCTTATGGTTCTTATTGTAGTTATCTATCAGTAACTACTTGGGCAGTAAAAAAAATTCGAATATCATGAAATATTATTGTTATTATTTATTTGAACGCCGGAATACCGACTATTGTGCAGTTTGACTATAAGTATTAGATATCGACCTGTATTGACGTGTTTTTGGGCGCATTAACTCAAGTTAATGACGTTTAGAAAAAACCATTTAATTTTTTTTTGCTGTGAATTAAGCATTGATTTTTGTATTTTTATAAAGTTAAGTACTTTTTTTCATAAATCCTTTAGAATTTTGTGCAAAATATGTAAAAATAAGCTCAGCACTAAAAGGGTTAAAATAATAAAACAAAGACCATCTTACGCCAAATGAATAAACAAATATGTACGTAAATATCTGAAATGAAAAGTCAAATAAAATTCAAAGAGCAATTGACAAAATCAATGTTACAGCTTCTGTTAATTAATCATCCATAAATTATTGAACGTTGTATAGGGTTGTAAATATTCCTATTAGCGATAAGAGTGCCCATTATATTTATTGGTAGATGCTTACATTTGTAGTTCTTAAAGAGAATAAACAAATAAATATAGTGAATATAAGTTAGCGATGGTTTTGATTATACATTTTTATTACAGATACGATATAGTGAAGCCTCCACAATTTGGTGTAGTAGAAAGGTTACGAGTACTGGATGGAACGTGGCAAACTGTCGATTCATTTACAAGCGAAATGGTGGCATTCGGTGCTGTTAGATATATGCATTTACTTGGAAATCCTAATCATGATGAGTTTAAAGTAAGTTCTCACAGACACATATCGGTGGCAATACAATAATTATGTAATGCTTAATCTGGTGGTATGATCTCTTCCACATGTCTAGTCCACACTGGTAGGTACCACCACCCTGCCTAATTCTGCCGTGAAGCAGTAATGCATTTCATTTTGAAGGGCGGGGCAGTCATTGTAACAATACTGAGACCTTCAAACTCATATCTCAAGGTGGGTGGCGCATTTGTGTTGTAGATGTCTATGGGCTCCAGTAACGACTTAACACCAAGTGTGCTGTGAGCTCGTCCACCCAACTAATCAATAAATAAATAAAATCTAAAAGTTGCTCTGTATTAACTCAGAATTTGTCTAAACAAAGACTGTCTCCTATTTATCAATATAAGATAGTACTATACCAATATATTTAATGCGATTAAACCTTTGTTTCAGTTTAAAGCATCCGTTGGATCTATACGAACGAACACATTATACGATTTTCGATTAACATTTATCAAACTCGAACTATATCAATCGATTAACGAAGAGCTAGTGCTGAACAACACTAGAGAAGCGTTTATATCGGCGCAACATCTACGATTTAAAACAAAACCGTTAGCCTTATCGAACGATCGAATTGTTTATACGATACTCCGACCACCGAAATACGGCATTCTTCATTTGTCATCCGGAAAACATCATTTACAAATTCACAATACGTTCACACAGCAAAACATCGACGCTGATCAATTATGGTATCGTTTACATAGACGTGCTTATTCGCACATACAAGATGAGTTTCATTTCGTCGTCGGGGCCACGGAATGTGAAAATATCACTGGAGTTATGATGATAAGGCACGTACCGAGCTCAATTTCATTCGATCATTCCCCGAATCGAGTGCGCACGACTTTAGAAAGACTTCAAGTGTCAGAAGGTTCTAGAATGGTCATACCGGCAACGCATTTGAACTTCAGAACCGACGTAGTAACGAATTTAATATTCAACATAACTCATTTACCGAAACACGGAAAGATTGAAGTTATAACGGATATGCTAAAGATTCTTAGAGACAACACGACATATTTTACTTTAGAAGAATTGAATTCCGACAGAGTTTATTACGCGCACGACAATTCAGAAAGTCGACACGATTCATTCCACTTCATGGCGTTGAGTCCAGAGCCCGAGGATTTCCAATATGTTGGAGTATTTCATATCGATATAATTCTTAAAAACGACAACAGCCCAGTGCGAGTTAACAACAACACATTTCACATCGTACACGGCGGCGCTAGACTTATTACAGCGCGAGATTTGAGTTATACCGATGCAGATTTGGACACAAAATCTTCAGATATTGTTTACACTGTGCAGAGGTCACCGAAAGACCCACCCAACGGTGGTATATTTAGAGCTGATAATCCATCGGAGCAAATAGCGACGTTCACTCAAGACGATATTAATAAAAATTTGGTTTTGTTCAAACATCAAGGCAAAGAGTACGGGAAGCTTGCATTTTGGGTGTCGGACGGCAGGTACGATGTTAACGGTAACCTGGAGATACAAGCGTCACCACCCTTTATAAGAATGTACCCATCAAACGGATCTATCATGGAGAATGGGAAGGCTGTGGTCATCACACCCAACGATATGCAGGTAGGTCGTAGTTCAATGGCTCGAATACGTGCAGGGGGCGTTCTGTGTGCTAAAGAAAAATACAATAAACAAGCAGAAGCTGAAGCTGAATTTGTTCTCCGGAAAATAGCCCTTTTTCAATTGGGTGTCTGTGTCAACGTGGCTTGAATTAGACAAAGTTAACGACACAACTTCTAACAGGTGGCTAGTCGACTAAAATGCGATCACAATCTGGTAGTTTGCTTGTGCAGAAAATACAGTGAATTGAGAAATGTACAAATAAAAAATTTCTGCTTTTGTTTTTTTTTGTCAGTATTGTTATACCTATTCTAACATTATTTCTTCTCAGTCCTCATAAAGCATAAATTAGTCTTTTACTTTACATTAATCAAGTAATATTTTGTATAATTTCAAGGTGGACACGAATATGAATTGTTTAGAGGAGGACATTCGTTATGAGGTAACTTTGGAGCCGAAGCATGGCTCCATAGAAGTGGGTGAAGGTCAAGGCGCTTACACTTTCACTCAGTTAGACATAGCAGCTGGAAGAGTGGCCTACAGACACAGGGAACCCAAGACACCCTCTGATCAATTTAGGTAATGTACCTGTTAGCATTATTTACATTGGCCATTTGTTTTCCATATTCTATTAAACAGTCTTAATATTGGTTGATTGGTACAAAAGTAAATCGAATGGATTATTTGAATAATTATAACATCAAAACACAAAGCAAAAATTAAGCATTGTTTTATTCTTCAGTTATAATGTATCATTAAAAACAATATTTCCAGATTCAAAGTGATGTGCCTGGACACATGGGGCGAGGGAATATATACGGTAAAAATATTTCCGTCGAGCTATTGGGAACCGTTGAGGGTGCAAACTAACACACCGCTATTTGTTGAGGAATCTACAAGCGTTAATATCACCAAAGATGTCTTGGAAGTGAGTAATTGAATAATGACAATGTTACAAGACTTACTACTAGCTGAGGATTTCACTCCTAGATTTCGAATATATCAAAATACAAGTAATGATATCGTCAGTATATTAATAAAACAGTAGAATCTGGTGTTTTTGTATGTATATTGAAGAAAAGTGATCAAAATAGAAACTAGCGAACTTCTAAAACTCTTTGTTTGTTCGCCATCGTTTCTGGAACTGTTAAAAGGATTTTCATGTAGGTTTAACAAGTGAACTGAGGATAGGTTTCCCACGCTATACAACGTATAGTTGACGTGAGCCCAGCTACGTAGACAGCTCATTGTATAATACAAATCTTGTTACAGATTATGCATCCACAAATCGAACCGTCAAACATAATTTACAAAGTTACAGAAGGTCCGAATCATGGATGGCTCGAAATCGCTTCGACTCTTGGAAGCTTAGAACCAGAAAATCACAACGAGGAACCGATCCACACCCGAGTGTTCGATCAATCGATTATAAACTCGAATCGATTAGTCTACGTGCAATCTGGCGTCAATCGCACTCGCGACCGAATCAAAATGGACGTCACGAACGGAATTGTTTGGTTGCGTGATATAGAAATGTCAATAGTGATTATACCTGAACACTTTTACATAATGGCATCGAATTTAACTGTAGTTGAAGGTGAATCGATCAGCATGAGGCCGGAATTATTCAAAACGATTACAGATTATTATAGGGGTAAAGTTGTATCGTATAAAGTCATTGAGAAACCAAAGTACGGAAAAATTATGATGGGAGATCAGGAGTTGAACTTGTTGCCAGTTTTAAAATTAAATTCTGGTAATATTCAGGTGGGTATCATTTAGAAGGTACTAGATCTATACTAATATATAAATCTACAGTGGTTTTTACGGATATTCCTTTATAACGACTGAACCATGCATTCGTTTGACTTGAAACTTGGTATCCATGTAGAAAATACATGTACTTACTGGATAGGCTAATATTTATATGAGTGTTGGACTCCCTGCACCAGTTGCGAGGGCGTTAATGATGAGAATCTTTGTGGGGGTGAGAAATAATAATGTTAATTTTAAATGCCTTTAATGTTAATTAATGTCTACACTGTTGAGTTGCATTGTAGAAAACATTCTACTAATATTATAAACGCGAAAATTTGTAAGAATGTACGGATGTATGTTTGTTACTCTTTCACGTAAAAACTACATGATGGATTTTGATGTAACTTTATAATAAATGACAATAATATAGCTGACACATCAGAATAACACATTGGCTATCATTTATAAAGATATAGCGTGCATTACCAAGAATATAACGATAAGTGTCAAGCAAGTAGGAAAAAATCTACCATCCTGTTTTCATAATCATTAATAAATTATAGTTCCCGAACCGAAGCGAGGTTGGGTCGCTAGTATAATATATCGCACATACGGTGTGATAACGTCACTAATGCAAATTATGTAATTTTTCAGGAGAAACATTGGAAAATTCAACATTTTATAGTTCTTATATAGTTTCTGTTATATTAAAGAAATAAAAATGATAATATTTAAACTAAAACTTTAAACTTCATCAGTAAGAGCAAACATCTCACTGATAACTATAAAAACGTATTTTCTCATACTCAGTTCAGTTTTAACAAAAACTGCATAAGTGACTTTATAGCACTGTATGTACGATATGTAGTTATGATGCTGTGGTTTGTATTGAATTTTCAAAAAAAAATCAATTCAATAACGCTTTCCGTCAACTTTTTTAGTATGTTAACGACGGTTCCGAAGAGTCATCAGATGCCGTCAAACTCGTCGCATTAACTGAAAACAATAAGGAAAGCGAACCGTTTTATATTCGTATAACTATAGTGGCCGTGAACGATGAAACTCCTATAGTAGCGGCCAATACGGGGCTCTGTGTTTGGGAGGGAGGCACATTTACATTCACCAGGAGTGAGCTTTGTGAGTACTAGAATTCCTTTAAATGAAATAACTAGAAATAACTAGTGGTCGCCCGGTGGTAGAAATTATAAGTTTGAACATTATTAGGGTTCTATTGTCATATTTCTATAATCATCATTGTTCTATAATCACAGTTTTCGATCAGGCCACAGTTTAGACAAATAAGATTAAAGACGAACAATATTATTCTATTCTCAATTTGATCACCGACTTTACACAATAAATAAATTGCTTATACGCGTGTGTGTGTCAAATACATGGTAGTTTGTGTAGTGTTTGTTAATTATTGATTTAATGTATTTTATAAGCATAAGTTTAAAAAAATATTACCATTCTGCACTCCTTCTCTATATCGTGTGTATATTATTATAAAGTGTAGTTTTGGCGAAATCTGTGACTATAGAAGTATAATAGAATTTGACAATAGAATCATACAAACTTATAATTTAAATCAATTATACTCGAATATCGACTACCGGGGAACCACTAGTTCTCTAAAAGTGTGATAAAAATTCATACTCCTCCGTCCCCGCAATTTTCGTAAAAATGGGTAGCAAGTTTTTGCTTCACATATTAATATATAGATAGGCTTGGGGGAGGCCTGAAAGATAGATAAATAGGGGGATATAGCCCACATGAGTGGCTATAACTGACTTGTCTTTAGTTTTGTTAACAGGCTACGTCAGTCATGATGGGTAGCTCTGTACAAAGACATGGACTGCAATGACAACTCGACTATGTGCAATAATATAATCAAAATCAGTGTATTAATATAAATTTGATTAAAATATTTACTCTTTTTCCTTGACTAAAAGAAATGTTTTACCAAAATTTCTAATATATGAACGAAAATTATTCCATTTTTGGTACCAATTTTTCAGATGTCAACGATATCGATACTCCTCTAGAGAATGTGACGATACGAGTTGTCGATATAGTGTCGGGGTACATCGCTATGAAGGAAAATATCGAGAGAGCGGTCGATCACTTCACTCAGGCTGATATTGATAAAGGAAAAGTCATTTTTGTACACAAAAGTAAGTAACGACTTTGTAAATATTAAAGTAGATTTTGTACGTTTATCTTAAATATCTACCCAAAATAAACCTCATGTGATTTTATGATAAGTTTTAAATATCATATAATTTTTCAGATGGAACAAAAGGAAAGATGATATTCAACGTGACTGACGGACTGCACGAACTCTCTAAAATTACATTCCTAATCTCGACAAAATCGGTTTCAATAAAGCTCACTAGAAAACAAAATTTACGAGTATTCCCCCTGATGAGGGAACCGCTAACCAACAATATACTGATGTCTAAATGTTCAGATCCTTCCAGAAGCATTTTGTATAAAATCGAAAGGGCTCCAACTTTAGGCAGATTGATAATGTTAAACGGGGAGAATCATCACAGATCAATAAAACAGTTCACTCAACACGATTTGAACAATTCTGTTGTGTATTACGAACACACGCATCCCTTCTCCGATTTGTACACAAACGATTCATTTATATTTACGGTTGAAACAGCACTGGCCAAGCCTCTGACCGATCAAATATTCAATATCGATATATCAGTGTCGTCCGGAGGACTGTCTAAATACGTTTATATACCGCAGATAAAGGTTCAAGAAGGCGATAAAGTACCGATCAAAGTGAACGTTTCCAACGTTATATCTTATTTAGAGACACAGGCCGGATTGCGTCAACCGCAAATAGAAGCTCAACTGTCGCAGCCTTCGCACGGTGAACTAAAGCCGTTGTGGCTGTCCTTGACTCAGTATCAGCTAGAAAATGGTGTTGTGAACTACGAGCACGACGATTCGGACAGTTTGAATGATAAAATCGATATGTCTCTATACCTATTGCCGGATTACGTTTTGCTTTGTAACGTGACCGTACCGATTCACATAATGCCGGTGAACGATCAGCCTTTTAGATTATTGACGGACACACCCCAGATACAGGTCGTTCAAGGCGAGAATTATACGATAACGAAAAACGATTTGCTCACCGAAGACGCGGATACAAGTCCATCGGGTATATTGTACGATATCATTAGCGGCCCGACTCAAGGGAGGATCGTGATGATCGACAGGAACCAGACCGTCGATGAGGCGCAATCGATAAACAAGTTCACTCAAGACGATATAAACAGCGGTCGAATTATATACGAGCATTCCGGTATATTACAAACAGCCACGTTTTATTTCAGAGTGTGGGACGGTCAGTTCAAGCCCACGTACACGGTATTCACGATAGACGTTGTACCCGTAATACTGAACGCTACTTCGCTACATCCGATACATTTGCAACAGGGCTCAAACGTGGCCGCCATCACTCCCGAACAGATATACGTAGAAACGAACGCGAGGATTTCTAAAGTCTGGTACAACATCACCCGTCCGCCGATACACGGTCTGATATACGTCAGCAGCAATCCCGTTACGTATTTCACTCATAAAGAATTGATCGAGAAAGTCGTTATTTACATGCAAAACGACATGACGACGGCCAATGATAGCTTTGAGTTGATCGCATGCGTGCATAACAGTAATGCAACGCTGCCGTTTGCAATTGAGGTTGTAGTGCAACCTTTGATGACGCTGAGTGATCTGAGGGTAGAAAGCGAAAAAGTTAAGATCACCCTTAACACAATGGACGCGAGTAGCCTGGCTAAGCTGACAGTCAGCAATCCGATATACACGTTACTTAAGAAACCTAAATACGGCACTATAAAGAAAATAATTAGGAGCTCCGGTGAGAAGACCAGTGCAAGGGAACGGGAAATAGCGTACTTCACGCACGAAGACCTCAAGGCGGGCGTCATATATTTTGTTATAAAGAAAAAACTATCGGATTTGAACGGCTTCGAAGACAGCTTCAGATTTTTGTTAGCGACCACGTTATTTCAGCCTGCGGCCGGTGAAGTTAAGATAATAATAGGTAATAGGCAGAAGAAGAATTTGCCGGGCCCCAATGATCCGGAGAGTCACGAAGGAATTCCAGTGAGTTTTTGCCTTACACACAATTGACATACTGGTATTTGTTAAATGGGTTCACTTTAAACCTAATCAACGAGTGCTCATGGAAATCTCTATTTACATTTTTAATGATTATTTTACATAAGATTCGATTAATTGTCACAGTAACCATGATATTCTCAAGTTAACGTCCACTGTTAAAGGACATATCAGACATAATAAGTATTAAAAAAAACTACCAATACGTGGGGTTGTTCTTGCAGGTGGCGAATACTGAAACCGCTTCATACTACATGATGATATTAATGGCGCTTCTTGGTACTGTGCTAGCGATTGTAGTTATATTCGGATTGATAAAATGTCGTCGTATATTGGCCCGCGACCAGAACGCCTTAGTGAAGATACACGGGCAGAGTCAGGGAGCGGTCGCTCCTATACCGCTGCCGAGGCCTCCTGACCACCTCATGCCCTCACCGAGTCAAGGAACACCGCCGATTAAACGGTAACTACAGATCTAATATTACCTGATGAATGCGTTACATGAGAAAATTGGCGTTTCTTATTTTGGTTATGCCATTGCATTTTATATTGTTACGCGCTGAGGTTCGGGGTTAATATTTTTTTTATTTATTTAACACTTTGAATATACACAAAACACTGCAAATTGTAATTTACTTCTTTTGCTTCGCTTCGGGTGATCCGTTCGCTGTTTCGCTTCGAGTAGATCCGATCACTAACTGCCGTGTCATACCTGCAACGCTTTAACAATCGATACGACATCCCTAAAATTATCGAGAACATTCCTGACAAGTCGAGTAGTTTCGATATGTGTTTCGGCGATTTGATAATAGATGGCGGTGTGCTTCTCGATTTTAATAGTTATATGATATTCGCATCTGCTATTTGACGATAGATTGCGTTGCTTTTACCGGCGTAACAATATGTTGGCGTGCTTACCTTAATTTAAATTAAATAGTAACTATACTATTTTAAAAACTTTTTGGACTACTTGAAACTGAAGTTAAAGATTGAAGTCTTAATTGTACGAGTATTACAGCTGTCCTGCTGTACCAATCTTAAGACGTAATAACTTAGCAGCAACGCATAGTCACTGCTCGTTTTGTTTAACGCAATTAGCGTAAATAATATTTTGATATAAAAATATATATTTATGTATGTATTTCAGTTACGTATCATCAGAACAGTCGGTCCATACTGGTGCCAGTACGCCTTTACCGTCTGGAGGGAGCGTCGCGTGTAAGGTTACACCGTTAGCTGACGCAGGACTACCAGACCTTAATACTAGATACCCTTACGGAGCTGAGGATCACACTGACGTAAGTGTCCTTTTTTCCCCTACCAAAGCTGATAGGCTTGAGAGGCTATGTCAGCGTAACCTAACAAGTAGGTGAGCTCTCGCAAACCTGGAGGCGTTGTTAACACTAGGCCTAGCAAGAGCAGTGCTTCGCAGAATCTACCACTGGTTCGGAAACGCGACCCACTGAGAAGATCCGGCGAGAAACAGGGGGCTGTGTCTATGGGTAAGTGTCCTCATGGAGAACTGGACACCAATAAGGAGCTATCTGGAATAACATAAAACGATTTAAATTTGAACATCTTAAGAAAGAATAAATAATAATGTTTGGTCAGATTGCGGCACTTTTGTCATAAAAACGATACACCAGTTATAGAAATTGAATTTATAATATTGATGATGATGATGAATAAATGAATTACTATTATTATTATTTTTTAAGGGATTTTATGACCTGGTAACTAAGACCTTTAGGTCATATCTTATTTTAATTTATATTCTTATTTTTATGAAAAATGATAATATGAAATGACCAATTTTCGGAGACTTTTTGGAGGATCCCGAGAAGTTACGTCCAGCGGTTTTGTTTCATTTTCCCACATTTGTGCACTTTCACAGATATTAAACAGTTAATAAACCACCGTTATTACACATTTAAACCCGAAGAAACACTAAATAGACAAAATAAAACAAATCACACAACTTCATTCCTCGCGTTCCCGCCAAAAAGTCTTTGAATGAATTATGATGAATGTATGTATATGTAATATCCATATATTTTATCTACATTAAAATATCCAAATCTTTTATCTATATTTATACCACAGGCAGAAGACTGGAGCAGCTACGAGGCAAGCGAGTCTGCGTATCCGATCCGAGCGCCCGGTGTGGCACCTACGAACCCGATGCTGAGACGCAACCAATACTGGGTCTGACCCAAGCATACCTGCACGCTGCCCGGGCCGCCCAGACCTGGTAAACTTTTCTAATCCCATATTTTAATTGCTTTTGATTAGCAGACTAGTTCACGGTCCTCCTATAGATACTGGGTGTCAGGAGACTGCCTCCGAAAACTAAATCAGACGATAGTAATTATGACACCTTTAATGACGGAAAAAAATTGACGCTGATAAAAAAATATCATATTTTTAAAACGTTTTATTAGCATTATTTTAAATCTATATATTAATACGTGAAGCAAAAACTTTGTATCCCTTTTTACGAAAATTGCGCGGACGGAGGAGTATGAAATTTTCTGCACTTATAGAGAATATAGAGAAGAAGTGCACAATGCTAATTTTTTTTTTTAAATAATGCATAACAGATATATTAAATCAATAAAGAAAACATTACACACACTACATACCATGTATTTGACGCACACACGCATGCATACTATTTATTTTGTTCTTGACGTCTGTTGTCAAATTGAGAATAGATTAAATATTGTTTGTCTTTTGTTAATATTTATTATAGTGTAGTCTTCGCGAAATTTGTGATAATAGAAGTATAAAATCGATGCCTCCAATGAACACACGCTAACTCCAAATTCGTAGGTTTACAGGAGGAGCGTTTAAACGAAAAAAGTTGATAAAATCTTTATTATTACAGATATATTTATGCTTTTTTTTTGTGTACCTAGCTGATTTACTCTTGCTTCGAACCCCAATAAATAATGATTTGTAATACCTTTAAAATAGTGAAGCGATTTGCTTGAAAAACGAAAATTTCAAAATTTTGAGTTAGAGTAGTGTCCATTGGAGGCATCGAAATACAATCATAATAGTGTACAAACTTACGATTCCAATTAATTATAGTCGAATTTCGACTACTGCGGGACCTCTAGTTAGCATTATTTTAAATGAAACGATAGTTTCATAAAACAATACATTATTTTACTAAATCCACCTTGAGACATCTCACTCTTTAGACCGAAATGCACTACTACTAAACAGCTAAAATAGGCAGGAAGATGATACATAAACCCGTCCTACAAATCTATATACCTACATATATATCTATATCTATACTAATATATAAATCTATAGTGTTTTTTACGGATGTTCCGTTATAACTACTGAACCATGCATCCGATTGACTTGAAACTTGGTATCCATGTAGAAAATACATTTACTTAATGGATAGGTTAATGTTTATATGAGTGTTGAACTCCCTACACCAGTTGCGGGGGCGTTAATGATGAGAATCTTTGTGGGGGTGAGAAATAATAATGTTAATTTTAAATGCCCAGCGAAGCGGACGGTTACAGCTAGTCTAATATATAATTGTTTTTTGTCCGCAGCTACTCTAAAAGCGAACGATGAAAAATGCGTACCACTGAGCCGCCGGCGACGCGTCGAATTAGTTCCTACGCCTTTTCTACTAAGCAATTACACGGTACCGCGTAAACAGAAAACTTGTGAAATAACGGTTTAAACAAACGACCGGCTGATAACACCAATACGTCATGCCTTAACACCAAATCTCGAACCACGTTCCAGAAATAATTTTATCCATTTTATATATTATACAATTCATTAATTTACCATGACTAAATAGGATCAATTTTTTTTTATATCGAATAGGAAATATCCCTTTATATTAATTAATAAACATTATTCATTTTGCAGTATGCGATAACATTAGAACGACGCTTAAAATTTATTAAGCATCTCTAAAAAGCTTAGAAATAAAAAGTCCGTGTTTATTTTTCGGGACATCAAATTATTTTGATAGTTCTTCGTATTTGGGTCTCTGACTAGGATTTCCTTATGACGTCACACGATAGTAAACAAGCGAATATACTGCACACTCCTTGTACGACAGTCGAAATACTCAATAGATGTCGAATAACAATAGAATAATTTTGAGGGGCTGTTTGTTTATTTAATAATGATTTTTTTTTATGACTTTCGTTGTCTGAGATATTTCGTTGCCTTGAACAATAAAAACAATGAAATCAAATTACTTTCTTCACGCGGTAAAACACTATTATAATCGACTGTACTTCATTGTAAAGTGTCGATGGTTTTAAAAATCATTAAAGTTTCTGATAATTCTCGAAACGCAGGACGTCGTATGTAAGTAACGTAAATTTCATTATTCCCTAAACTAGTGTTGTCGAACGAAGAATATTTATCGATACTTCGCCTGAATAAATTTAAATGTTAAATCTAATGTTTCACGTAAGATAAATAGCCAATTAGTGCCAAATTTTGAAGCAATAAAACGTACATAGGAATTGAAGACATTTAACGATATAAAACGTAAAACTGAATTTTTTATAATAGTATTTACGAACTTCTTTCGACTTCTACAAATTGTAAAGCTACTATGCGTTTTTGATTGAATACTTAGATATTAAAGAAATAAGGACTAGAGATATGTACAGTTATGGAAAAAAAAAATAGATATAGCAGAATGGAAATTTAAAATGTTTTTTTTAATAGACTTACTCTCGAACGAATTCCTATTACGTAATACCTCAGTATTTAGAGTGCTCTTTGATTGTATTGCGGGTTAATAAAATAATTTGATTTTTTTTTACAAAAAATAGAAATAAGTACTATATACAGTTTTATTTATATATATATTGAATTAGAATATTTCGTTCTCGTCGACATGTGCTCACGTGTACGATCTATGTAACTGTCTCCCTGAACTGGTTTCAAAGTTATAATTATACAAAGGACAACAGTTATATATCGGCATCAAAATGTGAGATTTATAAAACTATGGAGGGTAGAGGTGAGGACCACCATCTTGTATAGGGGACAAGTTTAACAAATGTCTACGTGTAAACAGCAACTTATTGTTAGAAGACTCTATGGAAATAGTGCTAGTGTAGGAACTGGAAATGATATGAATATAACAGTTTTAAACAAAACGAAGTGTGGTAGTTTACGGGAGATGATTTTTAAATTCTTCCACTTGCTACTGTAGCGCCACCTTGATTGACTCCTTTTCAGTGGATACTTTTTAATTCACTGAAATGGTTCTCCTTATTTCATCCTCATCATCGTTCTCCTGCCCTACTCCCAGATCACCTGGAGTCGGCGCAACATGTTTTCTCCTTCCACACTCCTCTATCATATACTATTTCTTCGCTCATTGCCCTCTTACACATATCGTCTTTCACGCATTCGAACCATTTCTTTTTAGGTCTCCTTCTCCTTATTTCTACCCTCCATATATAAAGCGAATGGAATCATTGTTGACATAGCGCTCACTTACTCCCAATTCAGTATTAGTGGCGGACAATGTTCCGAGTCTGAATAGAATCCTCTGACGTCTCTTGAGGACATTGATTTGTTCAATATTGAGGCGTAAAAGGCTATTTGGTTTAAGCGACGATTTTTGTATACAGGAGAGCCATTTAAAGTTTAAAATTTGGAATATACGGCAATTTGAATGAAGTAAACTGAATTGAAGTTCAATTAAAAACATCGAACTGTTGATGTTAATCTATACATATAAATAAAACTGGAGTGTCTGTTTGTAATATTGAAATAACCGCTTCTTACTACACGCATATGAATATATATATATACGGTACATACACCAAAATAACATTTTTTACAATTTTTGACGAGACTTTCACTGATAGGTAGCTGATAATATAAGGAGTAACTTAGGCTACTTTTTAAGACTAGCTTAGCCCCGCGATGTTACCCGTGGTACCAATAATAACAGCGGGTAACGTCGCGGCACTAAACTATCAATAATAAAATTTAATGTTTCCGAAGCGAAGCGAGGGCGGGTCGCTATACCTAATAGAAGGCAACTTTACCAATTACAAACATAAATATCGCGTATAAAGCGAAATGTCTCTTAAATCAAATAGTTTTTCACCTCTCGATATGAGTATTTAGTATTACGTACCTATTCTCGGGCCTTGTAAATTCAAAGTCAATCATTCATTCATTCATTCAAATTCCAAAATTCAAAAGTCAGTACTCCGTGATCTCCAGGGAAAGCTGAAGAAAGCGCACACGTGATAAATGTAACACTCACCTAGCGTATTAAGAATTATATTACCTAGAATCGTCAAATGATGCTCCCGATATTGGGAATTGAACTAACGTCGCGGCCAAAGGTACGTTTATTTTAAGAATCGTGTTCCATAATGCACGCACACGCGTTATATAATAAAATACTAAGAACTGAAAAGAAAACTTAATTGAACAAACAATGTTTAATATTCGTCGGCGCGTAAATGCCAAGAAAACGTTGCCAACAATAAAAATATAACCAAAATTATATTATTTGTTAGCGATTAAATGAAATATTATTAACGTTATATTATATAATAAATACATTTATTATCCTATATTAATCGTTTAGTTGAATTACGTAATCGATATTATTTACTTATCGATTTTTTTTTATGTAAGTTGATGTAATTTTATTAATATGTAATTTTAGTGTTTGCATATAACATTAATTAATAGTTATAGATAAGTTCTATTTGAAACCGAACGTAAGCCAAAGAGTTTCTAATTATTTTGATGGTACTTAAAAATGTAGTACTTAAGCCAAATAATAAGGCAAACCCAATGGAACTGAATCTATTTACGTTGTTACAAGTATGTTCACGTTATGATCGGGTATTGATTATTGTATTAAAACAAAAACCTTCCGCATTTTAGTTGAAAATAATGTTAATTCTATTTATCAAATCTTTATTCATATTACAATGTGCCAAATGATGCATTAGATAATTAAATAAATGTTGATATCGTATAGATAGCACATTAGTTAAGTTTAAAAAAAAAGGTTTATTCCAATGCAATGAAATTTGTGTCAATAGCTGAAAGTTTACTCATCATTCTCCTGCTCTTCTCCCAGTCACGTGGGGTCGGCGCAACATGTTTTCTCCTTCCATATTCCTCTATCATATACCATATATACAATAGCTGAGATTTTACTGCAAACTACAATATTACAAGAAATCCGTGCGTATCGCAAAGTATTGTAATATTTATTATCGTGCTCAATGATGCCTTTATTCACATATGATAACCCTGTAGATGCTAGTTGTAATATAATGCCAATTAATCATGAACCTCAATGTCTACGAAATAGATCATAAAACAACTTAGTCAATTTCACAAGCGCTCTAAGCATTTATTAAAAGCTAAATTTAGAATAGTAATAGTAATAATAAGCGAATCCTTGAATGTTTGTTATACTGGAATGTTTAAATGACAAATAAAAAGTAATACACGAATAGAAAGTCATATAAATGAATAGTTTAATTAGGTAGCTAAAGCAAAAAAAAAATACAGTAATTCTTTAATGTTCTTGGTAACTTCAATAGGTGTCGGACAGAAATCAGTTTAAATATCTTTATAGATACCAAATGTATTGACGAATGATCACGCAAAACGATGTGATGAAGTGATATTGCGTTGTCGACTCCCCACTAAATTTATAAATGTTCGTAAATATTGCGTCTAATGATGAACCGGTAACGTCGTACTATTTCTGCCGCGCGGCAGACGTAGTGCTTGAAGGGCCAAGATCGGGACATTTTCCGAAGATTATTTACAATGTTACGTGCCGCCGTCTCGAAATAAACTTTCTACAAATTGAGTTCCCGGTCTATGTTTCCGTTACGATGTAGCTACATACGTACGCACAATTCATCATAAATATATTCGTCTCAATTGAAAACTAGCGAATCTCACTAATATTAATTCGTAGAATATATAGACGCAGTGCACAACTGTGCGCCGTTTTTGAGACGTGTTTCCGATACACCCTTTGATATAATGTTGTAGTATTAACGGAAATATCAATAAATTTAGTGTTGATTATTTAGAAAAAAAAATGTAGTTCAGAAATTATCGTCGTGATCAGACCAGGGATGTGCGCTACTGGCCATATGGCCTGCTCCAAAGTTCGCAACGATAACCGGAATAAAAATGAAAACACTAAGCCGACTACCAAATTTTAAATAAAAAAAAAACATCTTGGCTGTCGTCGGCGCATTATTAGGATAAATTAATTATATTACACTGCCATCGATATGTGTGACAATTTTCAAATTATTCAGACTTATTACAGTTTTTATACATGGATAAATAGATAAAGCTAAAAAAGGCGTCTTTGAAAACAGTTATAAAATAATTGCCTCAGTTCGAAATGGTGACAAGTTTGAGTTAATTTAGAAAAATCAAATAAGTATGAGAACTCGTTTCATTCATTGTTATCCCCGAGCTCGAAATAGAAACAGTAATATAATTAAACTCGACAGTAAATAGGTCCTGAGTAATTTAATTTCTCTATGATGTCGTTGAACCAGTTTCTTTTTGGCTATTCTTTGTAACTGAAGTACTGATACGATGTTTAAGTGCACTGACTCCATGTCGAGAATAATAAAGGTACGGTGCAATTGAGACTTCGAACTCATGTCCGCTTACTCCTTCATCTATCTGCACAAAATAAAAACCCTAGAAACAGAACCACCGATTTGATGAAAATTTTGTACTTTTAAACGTGATTAAAATTATGTATGTATGTATGTATTTATTTTTAAATCTCAACTATTTATCGCGTTAATCTGATATATGACAATAAATCACATTTTTTCACAATCACCCGAAGTTCCATTTAATTTGTGCAATCATAATACATATTTTATACAATGTCGTTCTGAAATTTTAATTTATTTTGATATAATTTAATTGAATATCATAATGCATAATAAAGCAACAGAGAGGTTCGTGTCGGTAATGAATCATAATGAAATTCAGTACAGTTTAAAACTTACTCTTTAACTAATAGTTACATGCATCTGATGAACTCTTACCGTGCTTAAGGTCGCTTCACATACATCGCGATCGCGCGACGGATCCAAATTCAAAGCGAATATTTTAGCTCATTATTTATCGACTATTTTAAAATAATAAAATTACTGGTATTGGATTCTTTAAATATTGAAAAAGAATTTTGACTCATAATAATTATTTAGGCAACACAATTTGGGGTAGCGAAAGGGTAAATCTTTTTAATTTTTGTTTTATAAACTGAATTTCGTATACACCTAGAAATTACTATATTTAACTTATTCTTATAAATGCAACTGTAACGAGTCTGTTTTCATTTTAAGAAATAATTAAAATGTTACTGTTTGGTTGTTTATACATGTACATAATAACCTTGTATGTGAAAAGACCTTTATTCAATCAATACAGGTATATTATAGAACTATTTGTTGATATTTTTTGCATTACAATATTCATTATAAAATAAACTGTAAAATTAATTGCATTCTGTATGAAAACCGAATTCCTAAATAAATAAATGTTCGGTGTAATATATTAGAAACAGTAGAGAATAGTCTGTGGTGCAGTTTAAGAATTAATTTTATGTATTGAAAGATTTACTTTATTCAATAGTTTAAATATATTAGTTATATAGTTATTTGTAGCATGCAAGGTATTTCTGAGTGAACAAGACGTTTTGTGCCATACAAGAAATGTACTGTGAGATGTTACGTTTCGAGTCGAGACGAATAACTTTCATGTGGATAGCATGGTTTTATAAATAAAGAATGTAACTATTATTGTGTTTTTAGTACTTTTAAAACTTTTTAATTCAATATTTATTATTTTTATATTTTGTAGGTATTTCTTTATGTTACAGATTATTGGTTCTGGACGAATTAACGAGCCAGCTCAGCTTTTTTATTTTGTTTGAAGGATTACTGGTGGCCTTTTCAGTTTCACCAGGGCAAGTTCGACGCGGGCACGATGCTCTCGTTAATCTGCCGTAGGGGCTATTGGGTACCGGGTGCGGGGGCGCCCGGTGTTCTGCTGTCGGTTCCATGGTGAGGCGGCGCAAGGTGTGTCTCCCGAGACGACGTCCTGCGGGATCTTCCCGGGGATGGAATCCCATTCTATTGTCAGGACGGGTACCGGTGACGGCGAACCTTCGGCGCGCACTGTGCGGTACCAAAGGTTTGCGGGGCGGGTCCTGCGCGGTTGACGCTGCGCAGTGCCTCGTGCGCCTTTCTCAAGGCGTATACTCCCGGTAGAGATTGGAAGAAGAGGAGGACTTTGGTCTTCCTCTTCTACCTCTTCTTGTCTGGAGGCGCCGGAGTCCGACATAACCCGGTCTGTAACCTCTCTCGACCGGGTATCCGTAAAGGGATTCCCCAGCGTTAAAAAAAAAGGTTTGAGAGAGCAAAGGCTCAGCCAGTAGGGATGGGATTTTCTAACAGCCGCCCGAGCGCCTCCGAAGGAGACCTAACAACTCACGAGCAGATCGGATCGGATCAGATACTACCGGATCGGACGGGCCAGCTCATGTTAAATGGTCAATAGTATACCATAGATATCATAACGTGAATTCTGACGCCCACCTTAAACCAGGAGCTGGAAGACTCAAGTGTTGAAATACACAACTCTTACAATTAAAGGACGTAAAAAAATCTTTGTAAACTACACGTAGATATTTATATAAACAACATTTTCTTTTTTAATGAATATACGAGTATGGTGGTTGCCCTTTCGTCACTATAGACGCTATAGTAGGCCGGAACGAATTTAAAATTTTGGAATAAATCTACGAAATATAAACGAGATTGAATGGTCGCCTAGTACAATTTGACTGGCGTATTCTATAATTATTTATATTATTGGACAAGGTTAATTAAATTTTAATAAATAAAACAATAATTTCTTAAAATTTTGTATTCCCAGAGAGAGCCATACAATAATTTACACATAAGATTTAAATGATTTATTACATTTCTGACCTAAACCAAATTTGTGCACAAATTATACACGTAACATCTTAATGATTCTACAGTAACAGTCTGTTTAATAGCAATAACTATCTAACTTCGAATTGTTAAATTCGTCACCATAACCTAACTTTCTGACGCGAAAGATAACCTAACATTTTGACATTTCTTAACAGTCTTGATCAATTTAAATGGGATTTAGTCGACTTCGAGTTTTCTGAAGTTTCCGGTGAGACCTCGCATGGCGTCTCCCACCGCGTCTGCCCCAGCGCAGGTGTTGGCTCCAGATCTTAAAGCGGAGATAGCGCCTTCGCGCGCGGCTTCACTGTACATCTCTAACCTCACGCTCATTTTGTCATTGAGTAGTACCATATCTCGTTTTTTCGCGAGCTGCTCTTTCCATAATTCTGAAACAATATTTGCGATAGAACTCAATTACCTATATTACGTTTTTTGAGATTTGTAATTTTGCAGATTCGTAACTTCAATGCGTTCTAGACCTTTAACCTCGAAACTGCTGGAAGTAGATAGAAAAATTAATTGTAATTTCTCACCTATCATTTCCTTCATCGGCATAACTCCACCGTACTCTTTGGGCAATAAACTCTGGTCTATTTCCACGTCATTTATGCTCGTGTAAAGTCTGACTCTCTTCCTGATCTTCTCTGATATGAGAGCCATACCGAAGTCTAAAGCGAACTTGATCGTGGGATGGACATTGATGCCGTAAATTTCTTTATGCCTCACGGGAACTGTGCGCTGGAAACAAGACACGATCAATATTGAATTAAATGGACGTAACATTAACTCAATATCTGACAGATACGAACTTGTACTGGGCAAAAAAAAACAATTGACAAAAATTATTGAATAACTTAGATCAATGATGTGATTGAATCTACGAAAACTAACCTCTCCATTCTTGACAATCCGGACGGCTTCTTTCGGTGTGAATAATGTGAGATGTGGGAAACCTACTCCCCCACCGTCAGCGAAGTGAACCACTCCTCGCACCTGAGTCTCCTCGTCTTCCATAAGGGTTTCATAGCAGATGCCCATCACACGGCACATGTCTTGGTTGGTGTATTTGTAAGGGTCGAAAACTCCTGTGAATTGGAAAGAAGTAGACGATGAAGATATTTTGTCTTTTCGCATTAAAAGTGTACAATTTCCAAAAATATTCGAAATTGAGCTAATGTGCGAAATCATTTGGTATCACCAGTATTTTTCTCATAAATACTATCAAAAGAGCGTAGTTTAGCTTTTTTTTTATTAGTTTTTTTTTTTTACTACTAATAACAAAATTAATACATAATTTTATCTTACTTTAAAAGACAGATAATGTAACTGGTAAAAAATAAAAAATAATTATTTATTTTAATATTAAAAATATCACATGTACAATACATTTAAACCTTTAAAACTGTAAAATTAGTAAGTTTTGAGATTATGCAGTTTTAATGCGAGAAGACGATTTGTCCAAGTTGGAGTGGTTTTTTTTTCGTTAAGAAATCGAAAAAACCTTTGTAGTGAGTGCCAGAGCCGCATTTTACGTGGCGAGAAATACTCTGTTTGGTATATTATCCGACCTTATGCCTATGAGGCACAATTTGTGTTTTAACTTCTATTTTTTTAATGGTTACCTGGTCTATAAATAACGACTCGACGACCGCCCTTGTCCTTGAAGGGGCTGACGAAAACGAATCTGGAACGAAATTGTATTAAATGTATTTAGAAACTTAATGTACTTAGTTGTTTTGGATTACGAAAGTCGTCGTGGCCTAAAGGATAAGACGCCCGCTGCACTCGTATCAAACTATGCGGCTGTGCCCATGTTCAAAACCCGCTAGCAGGTACGAGTTTTTTATTTATTTATATAGCGCCAGCTAGATGGGTTGACCAACTCAAGGAGGTGACGAGGCCAGATATGGGGAGCGGTACATATGGCGCAGAACAGGACCGAGTGGAGAAGATTGACATACAATCACGATCCTCAGCATTGAGGGAACGACCAGAAAGAAAGAATACGTTGCCTACTCGTGTTGCCAAACGCCTTCCACGGCGAAGGATTAACATCGCTTTTAAAGAAAAAACCTACAAAGATGAATAGATTTGCAACAGGTTTGATCTGATTGAGGACAGTGCGCGTTGTAAGACCGCACCATTGGCTTTGTATCACCATTCAGTCGATTTTTCGCCGTGAAGCAGTGATGCGTTTCGGTTTGAACGGCAGCCGTTGTAACTATACTTGAGACCTTAGAACTTATATCTCAAGGTGGATGGCACATTTACGTTGTAGATGTCTATGGGCTCTAGTAACCACTTAACACCAGGTGGACTGTGAGCTAGTCCATCCATTTAAGCAATAAATAAAAAATATACAACTGAAAATTCGACCTGGCATCATGAGATTCGCCCATTTAGCGTTACACGAAATAAGCCATCCATGTGCTCACAATACGATCAACTTGACCAAACAATCGGGCGCTCGCGTTTCCTTATTGAAGTCTGAAATAGCGGTCTGTAATTAGTGCGTTTGCATACGTTTGCCGATAGGGGCGCTGTTCTAACTGCATACAAATTTGAGTTAACTTTTACGCTATCGAGAACGTTAAAAAACTCACTTTTTTTCCTACCTAAGCTGATAGCCTTGAGAGGCTATTTCAACGTAACCTTAACTAATAGGTGAGCTCACGGGGCTCAAACCGGGGTGTTGCTAACACTGACCCTAGCAAGAGCAGTGCTTCGCAGAATCTACCACCGGATCGGAAACGCAACGCACTGAGAAGATCCGGCGAGAAACTCTGTGGGATGTGTCTGTGGGTTAATTCGCTCGTCGAGCCCTTCGTCGCAAGCGACGGGTTCGACGAGGACGGTGACCGGATAACTCGCACTTAGCACACTGTTCTACGATCGAACTATTTCACGAAATCGGATAACAATTTAATTAGTGGCGACGACTTAACTGTCGTACAAAATAATCGATTCAAAACCGTAACATGCATGAAGCGGTCGTTTTTAGTATACCCGAGTTCCAAGAGCTCCATCATGATTGGCAGCTTGTAGTCGAGCTGGTTGAAGGCGATTCCCCAGGATTGACGCAGGAGCAGATAACGTTCGATTGCCTCCTGAGCCATCGGAACACTGAACTTTTTGGCTCGAAGAAACCGGAGCAAGTAATTCGAGTCTGAAAAGGTTTTCGAACTTATAAATGAGGCCATCAGCGCAAAAGTGGCCTAACCCACATTTTTTTTTATATTTAAGCTTATATGACGTATATTGGAATTTATTTAAAATATAATAAATTTTGATGCAAAACCGGCCTATTCATAGTTTCACCCATAGATAACAGATGCTTGGTGAACATTATTTTTGCGCGTATTTTTTTTTGCTTACTCAAATTCAAATTCATGATAATTCAAACCTAATTGCCTTCATACTAATTATGGTAAGCTTAGGCTACTTTTGCGCTCACGGTCTCAACAAATAAGACAAAGTGTGCTCGTATCGAGTGATGCGTTTAATTATAGCGTATAATGTTCACCAAAAAAACTTCATGATGAAACAATAAGAACGTGTATATAAATGAAATCAGTATAATTTATGAATTTGACGTAAATTTTTCGAGGGCACCCACGCTTTGTTGTTCCACAACGCATGTGTATAAACAACGTATAAATTAACATAAAAATACATTACTTAGTTAATTTTTTAATTAATGGCTGTTTACATTTTAGTTGAATCGTAAACGAAGTTTTTTTTTTTTAAATAAGCAACGTTGTAATCTCCGAGAAAAGAATAATACTTTTTAAGGTTATTTCATGATTTAATCTTAATATTATAGGCGAACTGATAGGCGCATAGGCCCTAGTACATGAAGAGACATGAAGTCGAAATTTCCTTCAAATCAAGTCTACTTAGTACTAATCCACGCGGACTTACTATACCTACTAACACTAATACGCCAGCATCACTAAGACCACTAATTCTATACATTCAACTGAAGTAAAATTGTACCTTTAACATCTAAATATTAACATAATTATGTATCTTTAATACATAATTATGTATTAAAGATGTTTTAATATAACAATGAATATTAAAAATATTGTAGAAGAATATCAAAATTTGCTTTTACTCCATTATTTCTTTGTTCTTCGGTTGTCGCCTTTTTTTATCAAAACTTAAACAAAACAGATCTGCTGTACGTTTTTCGGCTTACACATCTCTTTTTTCGTGGCGTGACTATATCACAATAGCTTATGCTCAATCAATAGATGTATCTTAATCGAAATATAAACTAAACTTAATCCGAAAAAGTCCTTAAGTCCGAAACTAACCCAGTCGAACAGCCAACAGCTTAGGGTTCTGTTCCATCCAACTCCTCAGGGCCTGCAGAGCCTGTGTCCTCGCGCTCTCGGTCTCCCGCAACTCTTCTGAAGCTATCGTCTGCGTCTCCTCGGATAGCGGACATTTGTACTCGTCAGCCTCGGTTAGATATCTCTTCTGCAATCTCTTGGACATCGTTCTGATCTGCGGACATAGTTATTCAAAATACTTGAAATTGAAAAATTTCGGTTAAACTTGGTGGTGTTAGGTAGTCTTGGTCATCAATACATAAATACCATCTTACAGATCTGAACTAAAATAAAAATCTTGTAGGGTTGTACTGAACTACTTTTAGTGAACTATGAAATGTACCGAAATAAGTTTGAAATAAGCCCTCAGTGATGTTATTGTTAGTTTAACGCTTAGAGACGACGATAACCACATACTATGACATAAGCCGTAAGGTCTTAGAGTATACATAAGCATGTATACTCTAAGCGTAAGGTCGTCTATTTTCGAAAACAAATAAAGATCGGATTGCGTTATTCATTTCCTATTTGTCTTAAAAAAAATCAACCGGAATAATTAGGTAGTTAGGTATTACCAACCACAGGGTTGCATGGTTTTAAGTGTAAGGCAGCCGTTTAATAAAACTGAGATTTCGTCTTTAAGTTTTAATTCAAGCTGCGATGTCTCTGCAAACATTAAAAGCACAAGCCATCAACTGCGATTTGAAATAAAAAGAAACGTTAAAATGTATGCAATCCATATATAAATAGCTGTTTTGATTTTATATACATATAATGACTGTATATGCAACGTATTTAAATATCTAAGTACATTTATGTTCTATTATATATACCATATATTAATTACTAAATGCATTATATTATTAATTTTGTGTTTTCACTAGTATCTCATAGTCCCGTGTTTCTGTGTAAAAAAAGAAAACTTTAGTATTTGAAAGACATCATAGTATTGTATTCATTCGTTTGCTGTATTGGTGCATTGAAATAATGATGCAGATGTGAGATAACGAATTTATTATTTGCATCACTTCCATTCCCGTTTGTTTATTTCATAACACAGTTGCAACATTATAGTATCCTCTTACGAGATCCGCTTGATACAACTTCGTGATGTAAGACTGCAATATAGTTTATAGACTTAGCGAATCATAATAATATTTTATGACATCAAGTCGTATAGCGAAATAATAAATATGACTACGCCTTACCTGTGCAAACGCCATCAAAATAATATTTTTCGCTTAATGTTATGAAACTCATTAAGAATAATTTACCACCAAATATTGTGAGCGTCGTACGTGAGGCCATTGATACGTGTAACTGCAGATTTTCGTAACATAAAGTTTTTATTGCAGCCTTTAGTTTTCGTTGAAAAAATATTATGAAATATAGAGCGATTAATGATTCAAGATATAATAATATCGTCATTATAACACATGGTATAGTATACTTAATAATGTATGGTATACGCTTAATATATATTCAGTACATAGTATTAAAAAACAAAATTTTGTGTTCAACTATTATCTATCTCTCTTTGACGCTTTCCTATTCATAACAAGTTATCGGAACCAGCTTATAGCAGACTTAAAAAGTGTTGTTCCAATTAAGGTGTTATTCACAAACATTATATATGTGGTTCTGGCCATAAATACATGTGCACTTAAATTAAACCTCATTTCACGTATAATGATTTTTTTTTCCAATTTATTTATTTATTGGTAATGTCTTAAGGATCTTACGATTCTGATAACAAGTGGTCACCGTGGCTCATGGACGTCAAGGATTCGACAAGGATATCGAAGCTGCTGCCTACCGAATTATGTTCTGTTTATCTAAGTGATAAAAAAAATTCTGAAATTTTCTTCATTTAATACAATTAAAATTTAAAGATACCCGCTCCGCTTAGCACCGTGTTAGAATAAAGCGGATGAGCTTTTCTCTTTGTACTGAGCAAGCAATACGAAATGGTTAAGTAATTCAACCGTACTATCTTTGGTTTATAATAAGATCATTATGTGTTATGCGTTATATGAGCACAGGTTCGTTATTGCATAAATAGCTGGTGTATGGGTCATTTGTGATGGCATTTAAGTAAGATGTAATCTACAAGAAATGAATGTTACTAATATTCATAAATTTAGAATTGAAATAATTCTAACAAATTATTGAAACAAATGTTTTCAAATCTTTCTTTAAAAATGTCTGTTTATTATGTATGTATTTATTAATCATTAAGGGTATTTAATTAATATTGTACCATGTATGTAGTTACGATTTTAGCAGGCCACTTTGAATCTCATGGTCTAAGATTCGTGCTTAAAATTATTTTTGCAAATTCTTTAACGTTCTACGTTAAAAAAATAATAATCAAAACTTATAATTCAGTATTTGAGTTAAACACAGAGGATATTATGAAAAATTGATTCTAACGTTAATCGCAAGAGAAAATCTAAATTTCGCTGGACTCATATAATACCGTATATACCGTAACAATGCCTTTAGACGAACTTTGCACGTATAGTTGTTTGCCTATGTGGTGGTCACTTAGTGGTTTAATTTTCTATGGCTTTTTGAGAACGACAGCGTATTGCCATTTGTTAAGAAAAATCTCGACTTGTCGATCGATCTCCGTCATTATAAAAATTCGGAAAACCGTTTTGACTAATTAATTATAAGACATGTTATTTCTTACACTCTTTGGCCATTATAGTATTGTATTAAATAAAAAATTTAAAAAAAAAAAAATCACAGAGTTGAATTTGGAACATGTCATTCTCATAGGAATCCATCATGCTGTTTCATTTTTGCACGTTTTTTTTTACATCCCTCCTAAATAAACGAAAAGGTCTTCTCTGTTGTGGGCATTGCCCCCTATAGCTCCTCGATCTTGTCCCAATCTCCTCGATATGTATAATCTTAATCAAGTTATCAATCAAATTGAGAAAGTTAAATATTTATATGAAACGCTTACTAAGATGTGTCAAATTAGCAAAGACAATATTGATTATCTTTATTTGTCTTCTTGCTCTATGGCGTTTAAGTGGGGTGAAAGCGCTCGCCATCCCACAGTGATTTCGCCAACTCGAATGTACATATTTCACAAATACGGTTCCAGTGCGGACGTGTGTATTGTGATGCATGAAAACAAATGAATTTGACATGGAAGCGATTAATGGTGTACTATGTACTAATAGAACTTGTAATTTCTGAAATAAAATATTGATAACCCTTTCGTGAATATGTACTCATAAATAAGTATGATCAACAAAGGAGTCGATAGTATTGACCTTTTATTCTTTGTCTATTGATCTATAAATTCCGTAATGCCTTCGGAGGCAGACGGGTATAGAGCCAAGCTGATTGTGAATTAACCCACAGACACAGCCCACTGAGTTTCTCGCCGGATCTTCTCAGTGGGTCGCGTTTCCGATCCGGTGGTAGGTTCTGTGAAGCACTGCAGTTGCTAGGGCCAGTGTTAGCAACACTCCTGTTTGAACCCCGTGAGCTCACCTACACGTTAAAGCGAAGCTGAAATAGCCTCTCAAGGCTATCAGCATAGGTAAGGAAAAAAAAATTGTGAATGTTCATGGACCCTTATGAACGTCAGAAATGCCATGAGTACGGCTACGGCATATCGCATAAATTAGCTTTGTTTTATTTTTTAATTAATTTATTTACTTAAATAATGCGGATGGGCGAACGACCTTACGGACCACCGAATGTTACGCGGATAATTGCCGCTTATCTTTAAATACGAAACGGAAGTCTCAAGTATACTGGAATAGCGCTTATATTAAACTATTTAAATGCTTTTCTTATTGCTTACACGGGTAGACGAGCGCACGGTCCATCTGGTGTTAAGTGGCCATGATTGTGGCAGCAGAATAAGCAAAACAGTTTTTTAACCAATTCATACAATCCTATGTTGTAGGTAACTGAAATACTCTGTAATCATATTGAGGGTTAAAAGGCTTTTTGGTTTACGCGACATTTATTTTTGTAATGAAAGGTGCGTTTTATTTGATATTAGCATCAACAGTTCGATCTTTTTAATTGAACTTCAATTTAGTTTACTCCATTTAAATAGCTGAAGAATATGAAATAGCTGTTATATGTAATGGCTTTAAATAGTCCTTTCGTAAAGTTGCAAAAATGTCGCTTAAACTAAATAGCCTTTCACCTCTCGATATATTATTTTATATTTATATTATTGAATAAAGATTACGGTTTTATTACACTTGTTTTGTAAATGCTAAAATTTGCAACGTCCCAAATTGTTAACATTTTTCGTAGTCACAGATACACTAAATCGTTTTTATTAATTTAGCTTTCGGAGTCTGGTTGTTACGTCGTACGTGTTTCCGGTACAACGAATAAAAGTCTAACTTAGGAACTTTGTATGTAGAACATTTAAGATCTAAGTCTGAAAACTTCGATTAGCACATCTTTTGATTAATTGTTTTTGTCAAAATCTCCATATTTTTTTAGCCATAAATATGTAGAATGAATTTTAACCATAAATATGTTATAATGTAGAATTAAACGCGCCAAATCGTTATTTTTTGAAGACGTATGTAGGTATGTCGTATATTCTTTATCATGGGTACATTCACTTTAATGATTGTCATTACCAGTAATTTTTATATTTACATAACCAATTAATACTCAAGATAAAAATTTAGTATTTTAATCATACCATGCTAGATTTGTTTATGATTACAAATCATCGGCTTAAATTAGATAAGTACTTCTCAAGAAAGCGCTTCGCATCTCGATACCTCGGAGAATTCGCAATGCATTTTTTTTATGAATAACCATTAATGAAAACCTTTAATTATTTACCATAATGAACACTTTCAAATAATTATAAAACATGTATGTACGTACCTAAATTTTTAGATATAATACAAATTACTTATCCTTTGATTATATATGACGAAAATATTATACTGTCACGAAGTCCTTATAAATTTACTATAAAACTCACTTGTCAAATTTCCCGCCGAAATTCAAAACTTCAATCCACTTCTTCACACGTGCACGTTCAAGTGGGCTTCGTGAGGCACTGACTTCGAATACTGTAAAGCCGGTAGTTTTGCTAGTTTGGTGATTGTTCTCTGTCTACCGCAACGAGTAACGGAGGTTTTGTAGTTTCGGTTAATTTGGTTACAGAAGCGCTCAATCTTTTTGAAGCTCCAGTTTTTTTTCTGTATCATTTTCATATTTTTATATTACTGAGAGAATCCGGACTTATATTTCTGAGGAGTTTTGAAACAATTCTGTAGATTATAGTTTTAAAAACTCTTATGAAGAAGCTTGATAAACGAATACTTTGATATGAAAGGGAAATCTTACTTTTTAAATTAAGTCGTTACCTATCTAACTACTTCAGTATGTTTATAATATATTTAATTTAATATTACAATATCAAGCATATGTTTCTTTAAAATTGTATGAGTTTCACTGTGGCCCAGTTTTGTAATAATCTTTAATATAAACATTTTCATCCGTTCACTTCAACCTCATTTTAAGTAAATGTATCAGTTAACATTCCGAAGCCTTCAAGGACTTCGTACACGGTAGCGTTAATAGGTTTTACTCGGTAACATTAATGTTAGAATGTTCCGATAATGACGAGCATTTATGGTTAATAGTTTATAAAACTACTTTCTTAGAGTACCTCAACGTATTTAAAAGTAAAGTTAGTTTTTCCTTTTCCTTTGTCGTATAACTCTTGTCAGAGCGGTCGTGGGCGTCATTCAGCATCATTGCTGTGGGCAGATGTTATGTGCCTCACGGGCAATCGCCACTCCTCCTGGTTTGTGGTGAGCCTGGTACACTCATGTTAGCTTAGGAATATAACATTCTCCAATTTTATTCAATAATTATAAGATTTATAAAAAAAATCCCAATTTTTTTACTTTCTAGTAAAAGTAATAGTAAATAAAGTAATGATACTTAAATACATATATTAGGCACTTTTTAGCGAATCATTTCAAAATAGGACGATAAAAAACTCATTCGCTTTATTTGAAGAAAATTACGTGAAATATTTTATCTTTTTTTATGTTTATGTATAGTGAAAATGTTTTAGTTCTCTGAATCTATTCTCTCACGTTCTGTAAAATAATTCAAATATGATTAACAATAATTAAGGTTAGATAATGTAAAATAGCACCTAATAAAAAGTGTATGCATTATCTTTTTTTTTTCATGTAGTATTCATACATAGCATTTTTAATTTTATATACCTACATACTATCCGTACTCGCCCGCTTCGCTG